CCCAGGAGTGTGCCAGAGAGGTCAGGTGAAGACAGTGTCAGGATACTGCCTACACCCACTGGGCTTAAAAGAAACTGGGATCCAAGGGTTGGGTCCAATACAGCAAACTTATGTCTGACCACAGGGGAAGCTTGTCAAGGGCTGTGACTGCTTCGCGCTTCCTACCAGCATCACATCACTCTTGCCTGCATTCGGTTTCAGTTAACTACTCCTCTCTAGGAGATGGTGTTCATAGATTCTAAGGCCAGAAGGGACCACTGTGATCACCTAGTCTGACCCCTGTTTAACACAGGCCAGCGAACTTCCCTGAATTAATTCCTGTTTGAACTAGAGAATATTTTTTAGAAAAAACACTCAGGCTTGATGTTTAAAATTGTAAGTGATGGAGAATCCACTACAGCCCTTGATAAGTTATTCCAATGCTTAATATAACAATTACTGTTAACATTTTGCATCTTATTTATAGTCTGAATTTGTCTAGCTTCAACTTCCAGCCATTGGATCTTGTTATACTTTTGTCTGTTCGGCTGGATTGCTCTTGATTATCAAATTTCGGTTCCCCATTTAGGTACCTAATAGACTGTGGTCAAGTCATCACTTACCCTTCTCTTTTGTTAAACTGAACAGATGGAGCTCCTTGAGTCTTTCACTATAAGGAATGTTTTCCAATCAGTCTCACGGCTCCTCTCTGAACTCTCTCCAATTTATTAACATCTTTCTTGAACTGTGGATACCAGCACTGGACTCAGTATTGAAGCAGCAGTTGCACCAGTGCCAAATACAGAAGTATTGTAACCTCCCTATTCCACATCCAGATTGCCCTGTTTGTATACCCAAGGATAACATTAGCCCTTTGGCCACAGTGTAGCATTGGGAGCTAATGTTCAACTGACTATCCACCATGACTCCCAAGTCCTTTTCAGAGCCACTGCTTGCAAGTATGGAGTCCCCCATACTGTAAGAATGGCCAACATTCTTTGTTCTGAGATGGATGACCTTACATTTGGACATATTAAAATGCCTATTGTTTGCTTATACCCAGCTTTCTAAGCAATTCAGATCGCTCTGTATCAGTGACCTGTCCTCTTCGTTATCTACCACTCCCCCAAACTATGTGCCATTTGCAAATTTTATCAGCAATGATTTTATGTTTTCTTCCAGGTCATTAATAAAAATACTAAATAGCACAATGCTAAGAACCAATCCCTGTGGGACCCCACTGGAAACAAACCTGCTTGATGATGATTCCCCATTTACAATTATATTCTGAAACCTATCAGTTAGCCAGTTTTTAATCAGTTCAATATGTGAAGCATTAATTTTGTTTCATTCTAGTATCATAATCAAAATATTCTGTGGTACCAAGTCAAATGCCTTGTGGAAGTCTAAGAATATTACCTGAACACACACAGCTTTTTCAACCGCCCTTGTAATCTGGTAAAAAATATCAGGTTAGTTTGACAAGATCTATTTTACAATAGACCATGCTGATTGGCATTAATTATATTACCCCCCTTTAATTCTTTATTAATTGAGTCCAGTATCAGCCGTTCCATTATTTTGCCTGGGATCAATGTCAGGCTAATAGGGCTATAATTACCCACGTTATCTTGGTTACCCTTTTAAAATACTGGCACATTAGCTTTCTTGCACTCATCTGGAACTTCCCCAGTGTTCTAAGACTTGGCAAATATCATCATTAATGGTCCAGCAAGCTCCTTGGTCAGCTCTTTTAAAACTCTTGGATGCAAAGTATCCAGACTTTAAGATATAAAAATATACAGCTTTAGTAACTGCTATTTAATATCCTCCTTAGTTACAATTGGAATGGAAAGTACTTCATCATCATCATTTTCCTAAATATAGAACAAATATTTATTGAACATTTCTGCCTTTTCTGCATTATTATAGACAGTTCTACCATTTCCATCTAGTAATGGACCAATACCATTGTTAGGATTCCTTTTGCTCTTAATATACTCAAATCCTCTCTTCTTATCCATAACTCTGCTGGCCATTAATTTTTTCTTGTGTCCTCTTTTGCCTCCCATATTAATTTTCTACAATTCCTAGCTTCTGAGTTATATTCATTACTAAGGATATGATTTAGTCATGACAGTCATGAATTCTGTGACTTTACTGGACCTCCGTGACTTTTCCGGTTTCAACTGTCAGCGGCTGGGGCTTTATCTGTCAGAATATTAATCCATATGAATTCAAGATCATTTGCTTCCAATTTTCCAGTGGAAACAGGAAACGCTATATTGGACAGAATGTCACTCCCCATCCCCTTTTGCCCACTCGATCCTTCCTAAATAGACCATAACCATTATCTCACATTCCAATTGTGTGAATTTTTCCACCAGATTTCAGTAATGCCAACTAGGTCACGTTTATGCTCATAAATGAGCAATTCCAATTCTAACAATAGTGGTTACGTCTTATGTAAAGTCAGCTTAACTTCAGTACCCAAAAAGATAATGGAGCAAATAATTTGCAAACACCTAGAAGATAATAAGGTAATAAGTAAAAGTCAGCATGGATTTGTCAATAACAAATCATCTCAAACCAACTTAATAGCTTTCTTTGACAGGGTAACAAGCCTTGTGGACGGGGGGAAGCAGTAGATGTGATATATCTTGACTTTAGTAAGGCTTTTGATACTGTCTCACGTGACGTTCTCATAAACTAAGGAAACACAACCTAGATGGAGCTACTATACGGTAGGTGCATAACTGGTTGAAAAACCATTCCCAGAGAGTACAGTAACTTCTCACATAAAGTCGTCCCAGTTAGTGTTGTTATGTCGCTGATCTATTAGAGAACATGCTCGTTTAAAGTTGCGCAATGCTCCCTTATAACGTTGTTTGGCAGCCGCCTGCTTTGTCCACTGCTTGCAGGAAGAGCTGCCCATTGGAGCTACCTGGTGGGGGCTTGGAACCAGGGTGGACCGGCAACCCCCCATCAACTCTCCTAAGTTCCTTGTGGACAGCCGCCCAGCAGGCTATCAATTACCGGGCATTCAGGTGTTCCTCCCCACACTGCCATGTGCTGCTCCTGCCCTCTCCTCTGCCTTGGAGCTGCTCCTGGGAGCCTCCTGCTTGCTGTGCAGGGGATGTGGGGAAAGAGGGATGCTGATGTCAGGGTGTCCCCCTCACCCTGCTCCTACCCCTTGTCCCGTATCCCATCTCCACAGAGCAGGGAAGGGACATGACAGGAGACAGGGCTCGGGACAGAGGGAGCTTGCCAGCAGCAGCTGTTGTCTCAACTTGTTGATCTACTTAAAAAGGCAATGTACTTAGAGTGGGGTCAGCATACTTAAAGAGGCAATGCGCTTCTCTCTCACACACACCTACACATATGCACACCTCCCTCCCCCCCAGCACTTTGGAAAGTGGAGGGAGTGGTGCGCTCCAGTGGGATAGTGTGGGTTCATCATCATGTTCAGTTTCCGCAGGGAATGTTTGCAGCCACTGCCACGCCTATATTATGTCTCCTCCCTCCACTCATGCTGCCTTGTAGAGCGTGAGGCTACATGTTAACCCTTGAGGGCTCAGCCGAGTGCTAGTTCATCATTTGGCAGTAAAGCATTCCCTGGGAAATACCCCACCCTCTTCCACCCTCTGACTCCACCATCTCAACCAAGCTTCACAATCATCATCGCTGTGTACAGTATTAAATTGTTTGTTTAAAACTTATACTGTGTATATATATGTGTGTGTGTGTGTGTGTGTGTGTGTATGTATATATGTATATGTACATATGTATAATATATATAGTCTTTCGTCTGGCAAAAAAAATTTCCCTGGAACCTAACCCCCCCCTATTTACATTAATTCTTATGGGGAAATTGGATTCGCTTAACATTGTTTCACTTGAAGTATTATTTTTTTCAGGAACATAACTACAAGGTTAAGCGAGGAGTTATTGTATGGGCTTGTACAGTTGCAACACAATAGGTCCCTGATCAGGTCATAAGTTTACGGTATGATCCTACATTGTGCAGGTGAGAAGATTGAACTGGCACAAAGTATAAATTGATGAGCAGGACAGGAGTTGTGGGGTAGCCCGATCCTATGCTAATCAGAGCGTTGCTATTTGGCTGCTATGTTAGTCCTGGCTACTAAGCAGGCGTAAGTTCTAGAGGCGAACATGTAGCTAAGCACCTTATAAGAGGATCTTGCTTAAGATGGCAGATTTGCATGTTGTCTGCCTAAAACTTTACCCTTTGTTTACCAGGTGCAAGTGAGAGTTAAGGAACAGGCATGCAAGGGGTTTGGAACTCAATACAACTCACCTCAAACAGATGAACCTAGCACTTAAACTCACTTTTGTCCATGTGTGGTGTCTGCTAGCAAATGCAGAGAGCAAGAATCTTGTTGCTCTCTCTTTTCAAGATCAAAATATTTTATTCATAAGAAAATCTCCCCCTCCCCCAACAGTTGTATGGGATTTTTTTTGTCTTATTTTTCCTCTGAGCTTATGCAGTTGGGGTGACATAGATCCCTGTGCTGAGGGCCACACCAGTCCTATTCACCAAATCAGTCCCACTGATCTTTGTGCTGGCCCTTTGAACAGGGGTGAATTTCACCCCAATTATTGTTTTTGGACACTTAGACACGTATGTAATTGCACTGAGACTGTTTGGGAGGGTTGTTCATTTCCTTGTAATGAGATTAATGACTTCACAAGCTATGGCTGCAGTGCAGCTCGGAAGTGCTGATTCCCAGCCAGGTAGACAGACTTGTGGTCATTGCACTACGAGAGGCTCAGGTGGGCTTCGACTCGGGTCACTACCCTGAGCCACTGCCCATGCCGCAGCATCCACACTGCTATTCTTAGCACACTAGCTTGAGCTGAGCTCGTGAGAGTCTGTCTGCCCACAGTGGGAATCCCAACGCCCAGCTGCGGTATGGACATACCCACAGAGGCAGGTTCTGAGACTTTTAAGGGAACACACTGGGTTGAATTAATGTTTTGTTTTTCTTTTCCCTCCTCAGGTGGAAGAGAGCTACCATCCGGGCAGCCCTTCGAAAGGCCTTTTCTCAAAAGGGCTCCAAAATCGACCTTCCAGCCCCGTTTCTGCTCCTGTGAGATCTAAACATAGCCCAGGTTCACCAAAAACAGTGTTCCCCTTCCCATATCAGGAGTCTCCCCCACGCTCCCCACGCCGAATGAGCTTCAGTGGGATCTTCAGGTCCTCTTCCAAAGAATCCTCTCCCAGTTCTAACCCGTCTACCTCGCCCGGTGGCATCAAATTTTTCTCCAGATCAAGAAAAAGTAAGAAATTGATCATGTTATTTCAGGAAGATACACTGTACCTCTGGGCTTGACCTATTCTTTACCTGCCTATAGTAAAGTAAGTGCAGATGGGGCACATGCTGTTTAGTATCAATTTCACTTAAGGTGTTTATCAGCTTCTTGCACACTAACTGTCCTGTACAAAATGAACATGAGACTCCTACAAGCAAAGGGACAAATCTAGCCCTGTGCAGAGAGCCAGCACATAAGTCATATTTAAGGCTTTGGATGAAATCCTGTCCCCATTGAAGTCGATGGGAATTTTGCCATTGACGTCAGTGCGCCTGGGATTTCATCCATGGGATTTAAGTGGAACTGAAGTGGTGCATGGCGTTAGTGACGGCCCTTTGCACAGGGTGAACTCAACTCAGAACGAGAGGTTCTGCTTCATTAACCACCTTGAGAATTTCAGTAGTTACTTTACCAATGTTATTTATGCTATTATAGAACAAATTATCCTATACCAGGCAGAGGAAAATGACATGCATTCCTGATCTGATGACAATGGAGAGGGTATTTTGGCTCATCCATCTGAAACCAATAGGTACTTCAACCGGTATGATTGAGCACAACTAACTACTTTTTATTACACACAGATTGTGCCTCTTCAGTAGTTTGTCCACCTGTTACTGAATGAGCCACTTGAATAACTTATTTGTCAAGGAAACAATTTACTTGTACGGTTTAAAATCTAATAATACAACCAAAGAGTTAGAGCTCCCGGAGCTCAGAGGCGCTAGGAAACAGACATACTTACAGGTGAATCACAGAAGAGAACGTGCTCAAGTTTCCTCTGCTTGTTGTTATTAGGAATTGTTGGAATTGGCTGACTGTTTGGATTGTCTGTGTTTTGGTTTGTGTGAATGGAAGAAATAAAATCCTATATAGGTGCACAGGCGCAGTAGTACTGATGCCTATAACTGTGTTTGGCTAATGTATATTGCATATAATGTACCGATAGTCTTCTTTGATCCATAGGAATCATAAGGGACCTTTTAATTTTTTTTTTTTTTTTTTTTACTTGAACAGAATTCCAGGAAAATATTTATTTTGATCAGAATAAGCAACTTTGTGCTGACTTTTGTACATACAAATAGTCTCACGTGTATGTGGTACCTGCGCATGCACACAGAGTTGTAGAGGATTTGCGGGTATATTTGGCAAGACGTTCTGCAGAGTCATTTGAAATAAGATCTTTACCGGTCCCTTCACCACACTGAACCACTTCCCAGGGACTGAAGCTTCGAGAAGGGGGTGTTTTGAAGGGAGTCCAATTTGTATTACACACAATTAGAGATGATATATCCAGTTTAGCCATCTCAATCAGGGGCATTAGTTCTTCCATAGTTAAAGTTCAAACAGGTTTCCTAGTAGTCTGTTTTTTCAGCCCCTCCACAAAGCCCATGCACCGTTTAAATCCCATTTTAGCCTTATTTTGTGGTTTTGAGTGTGTCTTAAGTGCTGTATACACTTTATGCTAGCTCATTGCACATGGGAGAATTTCATCCTGGCAGAATAATAATAATTAATAATAATATGTATTGCATAGCAAAGTACGCCAGTGACACTGATTATTTAGGTGCTGCCTAGTTATGCTCCTAAGCAGGGTTGGAAGGTGAAGTCTGATCCTAGCCAGATTAACCTATCCATCAGAATATTAAGCGAAAGGATCCTCCAGCACTCAGCAAAAGCACCGAGTTAGGGTCATGTCACTATATAGCAGAGCCAGGAATAGGAACAGGCTCTCGTGCCATATTTTTGAGCCAATAGAAGACATCAGTGACCTTCCTAGGAGAGAAATCATTGCAGCAGTCATGCTGTTTATTTTTTTAGCACAGGAATAGCCTCCTCTCGGTGAGTAAGTGATGTTGATTCAAGTGCATACACCAGTAACTTTTACCCTTCAATAGCTACAAGACAGAATGTCACTTTTATACCAGGTGATGTTCCCTTCGTAAGATCCCTTCTAAAAGAGACTTAAATAGATACTTGCCCCTCCCTCCATTCTCCCCCACTTTTTGGTAGATTTGGTAGATTTTATATCTACATAGGAATTACATGCTTACGACTTACTACATTTATTTTTATGTCATTTCTTTTAAAAGGAACTTTATGGCATCCGATAAACAACAGTGATGTATTGGGGCTTTTTATAATTAAATCTTGTGAATGCTACTTGCTCAGTAAGTAAAGAATGGTTTTATGGATTATGAAACACTAATATAACTTATTAAACCTTATCCAAAACAAAGCCTTTATCACTTCAACTTCATTGTCTGAATGAGGGGATTTCTTAGAAAAAGTATTCAAACCAACCATATAAGATCCGTACTGCATTACTCTGGTGATGGGCAATCTGGAATGGCCTACGTTAGTGAGGGTCCCAGTTCAACAAAGCACACTCAAGCATGTGCTTATTGAACTGGGGTTTTGATCATGATGTATCTCTAAATTGGTGCTAATGATGCACTGCACCTTTCCCTTGTTGGTCATGTAGCAAATCCTCATGTAATCTAGTCTGCAGCTGAAAAAAGAACCAAATAAAACTTTAAATTTTGGATTATTACTTTACAAGAGAATCTGGAACTAATCATTTCACACCATCCTGGAAAATTATGTAGCCAGTCTTCTGCTTTTCCTCCTTCCATGCAGAGTTCAAAACATATACTAACATGTTGATCCATATGATCCTGTTTCTCTTGGCAGTGACACATTCACATGTTCTTGGTTTAAAGCGTACATATGTGGTATTTGAAGTGCTTGATTTGTCTCCCCCCCACCCCCACCCCACACACACACACACTTTGTTTCTGACTTTGTGCAATATGGGATAAGTAATAGTGGTTGGAATAAGACTATGTTAAAACAGAAATGGAACTGAAGATATGAAGCCTAAGATCCTTTCCCATGTAAGGGTAAAAGTTAAAAGCACTTTGACATCTTGGTGATTAACAAGGTTTAAAATGTTTAAGGTTCCTCTCTGTCTCATTCTTTGCTGGCTTACCTTAGTGGTGTTCTCAGTAATAACCTATCGATTCTGGTCTAAAAAAAGTTTGTGCCATGAGAAGGAAAATATTTTCCTGCATGTGACTGCAGCAGTTTTGTTAGGTTGCTAGCGACTCTGTAAACTGATTGTTAGAGCTCAGTGTCTGTCACAGTGCCTAACTGGCTTCAAGACTGAGCTTGGTAAGTTTATGGAGTATGGTATGATGGTAAGAGCAGGTTGGACTAACACCTGTCAGGGATGGTCTAGAATGATAATACTTAGTCTTGCCTTGAGTGCAGGGGACTGGACTAAATGACCTCTCAAGGTACCTTTTAGTTCTATGATTCTATGATGGGACTGCCTACGATGGCAAGTGGTCCATTGGCGACTGCCAATAGCAAAAATCCCAAACTGCTGGAGATGGGACACTAGATGGGGAGGGCTCTGAATTACTAGAGATCATTCTTTCCCAAGTATCTTACTGGAAGGTCATGCCCACGTACTCAGGGTCTCCTGATTGCCATATTTGGGGTCGGAAAGGAATTTTCCCCCAGGTCAGATTGGCAGAGACCCTCTGGGTTTTTCTTCTTCCTCTGCCGCATGGGGCCCAGGTCACTTGCAGGTTTAAACTGGTGTAAATGGTGAATTCTCTGTAACTTGAAGTCTTTAAACCATCATTTGAGGACTTCAGTAAGTCAGCCAGAAGTTAGGGGTCTATTTCAGGAGTGGGTGAGGTTCTATGGCCTTCAATATGCAAGAGGTCAGACTAGATGATCACAATGGTCCCTTCTGACCTGCAAGTCTGAGTCTACTGATAATCACATGTGAGACTAATTATATTGTTCAATTGGAGGGATGATTGGGGTACTACACAAAGATTTCCACACACCTTATTTATTATAATGCTGTTTCTTTGGGAGAGCAGATAATGGATTGATTGTTTTCTGTGTACAAAAAGGATATGCACACTGCATGCTATACTGTGTTATACCTGAAGATGGTGCAAGTCGCTCTGTTTTCCCAAATCCTAATGATAAAATGGAAAAAGTTTCGGGTTTTCATGATGCAGCATTTAGAGCTTTCCTCTGATGAAGGCCTCCTAACTATGATAGATCTAAATAGTAAAGCTTCTCCTCAGGTTTTAATCTGAATTTGATTTCTCCCACAATTTGTTTTAGAATTGCATTGTTTCTTATTTTGGTAACAAGTTGCTGTGAAACTGCTTACTCTGTAATGAGCGCAAGAGCTTATGCAAATTATCAGGATCAGTTAGACAGGTCAGCCTGACAAAGGGCGTTCTGGATGAATACCTTACAGCTGTGTGCAACACAGGCATATTTTTACAGTTTTAGGCTCAAACTACTGACATACATTACTCTAAAGAATAAGCTTCCTTAATATATATTCCTGTAAAATTGATACACATTCTGTTAATTGGCTGTCCGAAGATCACTGCTTTTGCTCAGGGATTCTAAATTTAGATTTCTCTTTGAGGTCAATCAGTACAATCCATAGTGTGTTTCCCTCCCAGCCTTTGAAATGCTACTGTACATAAATATCAGTTATAAGTTGTGTTGTGAAATACTACAACTGTGGGCTCCCCCCCCCCCAATATCTCTATTATCCTGTGTGTGGAACAGCTTCTTCTGATACTACTGGGGCCAATTGCTCCTTGCTATGGGAAACCCAGCAGGGTGGGAGCTAAAGTTTGGGAAATAACCTTGAGGAAGTTTTCTTCTTGATTATTCCGGGGGGAAGGGGCACAGAATTTACCCCTCTCCTTGGAAAGCATTCCCCAAGTCCTCCAGGATCCACATGGATTCCAGGTCAACAGGAGAGGCAGGAACTTTGGTGTGGAAGCTGTGATGTCTTTGGACCTCTGCCATAGTTACCCCCAAGACTCACCCTTTAAGATAAATCCTCATCAAAGAGAGGGTAACATGGAAAGCTAAGGCAATTTTGAGCTTTATTATCTTCCTTTCCTGATCTCTGT